CCTGATGACCTATAAGGTCTTTCCAGCTCTAAATATATTAGTAACCCACCCATGCCTGCATATCTTGTCTGACTCTTCTTTGTGTCCTCTGGGGAAACTGAGGGTATTGGAGCAACAAATGGTGTTGGGGAATGAATGAACCACACTGATTCCATCTTATGACTCAGTTCTGGAGCTAGTTAAGTTCCCTTTCTATTCAATTATGAGTTTAGTCCAATTTCTGTCCTATGAGAAAACTTTATTCAATTATGGGAATTGTGAAAAAACTTTATTGCACTGTTTGAACCTAGCCCTGTATGGCTAGGAACCTGGACCACCCCAACCAATTGCTCAGAGACCCTTAACTAAGGACCTAGGAGGTCATGCTAACCAGAAACCCAGTTAGATCTGAAGACTGATGTAAGGAGTTTTCTCACAATTATACATCTCAAGGACCCCACGTGTCTTATCTGAGAATCAGCCCCATACTGATCAATCAATTATTGTTTTCATGTTCCTTTGGTTGAGTATAGGAACTTGGGGGGAGTGGGACACCTCTTTTTCTGATTTTAGAAAACTGCAACTATTCATTCTCCCTTTCTGAACTTGGAAAGTCCCTAATCTTTCCTCCAATTAGAAATCAGATTATCTAATGTTATATCCTGGTTAATTGTTCCTTTTAATTAATTGGTCTTATTTGATTGATTTTAATGTATAAAAGTCTGTTTCCCACTGTATTCGGGGTCCAGTGCCAAAGGCGAGGAAGGCTACTGGTTCTGATTTGTTGGGCAATTGGCATGCATTGCTTAATAAATATTTATGTTTAGAAGCTCAAAACTTTTTCCTAAGGCATTTCATCTTTCACCTGCCATCCCTCCCAGAAATTTTCCATAAGGTTACTATGCAACTTGCTGGGTGCTTTCTTTGACCAGTGAAGGTACCAGTGGAACACTCTGTTTATGCACTTTTTTTTTAAGGCAATTGGGGTTAAGTGACTTGCCCAGGGTCACACAGCTAGTTAGCGTCAAGTGTTTAGTCTGAGGCCAGATTTGAACTCAGGTCTTCCTGACTTCAGGGTCAGCGCTCTATCCACTGCACCACCTAGCTGCCCCTGTTTATCCACTTCTTAACCCCTCAAACTTACTCATTAGTTATACTGGTAACAGCCACTATATACCTCTCTATTCCCTTCTGTGTAATATAATTTTTAATTCTTTGGAGAACATTGTATTCCATGTTTCACCAGAAGTAACACTGGCAGAATGTTAGTATTAAAAAATGGGCCTTTGTTTCCACAGGAATCTTGGTATAATTAATGGAACCTTAAATTTCCCAAAGACAACCTACCTACTCTTCTCATCTTCAACTCTGGGAAGAAATGGTCCATCTTTATTCTCTCCCAGATATACATACTCTACAGGGACACACTCTATAGGTTTATGACATAAGGGAATGTCATGATCTGCATAATAGACATTCTTCATCTGCTTGGCCTTCCCTGTGTGGGTAGACAAACTCTTGAGTGGTTACAGAGCTCTTCCGGGAGACTCTGCAATATTCCAGTTTTTGATGCAACCAGTAAAAGGTAATTTCCAAACAGGACTATCTGGAGGACTTAACCATCCACAAAGAAACCCTCTTCAACTCTGACTGCACCAGATCTCCTCCAACATAGTGGTAAAAACTTTTGAGACCGTATATATCCCTGTTTTATACCTTACCTGATGTTTGTGATCAGAGGTTCACTGAACAGGGTTATTTCTGTTGTTATACTTTTCAAGGATTCTACATTGATTTTTCTATATGGATAGGAGATAACCTTGTTGGAAAGGAGACTCCAATGTGTTCTTTTCCTCTACTCGATCAAATATTTTTTCATAATTAGCAAACAATAAGCAAAATGGGATCTTACTTTTCTATATCCTTCATTCTACTATAAAATGACTAAGATGTGGTCTATTGTTGAATATCTCTTGCAAACACCTGCTTGTTCCCTAATTATACCCTCAACAAGTATGCTCTTGAATTGAGTATAAGTGATTCAAAATAAAGATTTTATACTGGTGGGATAGTAGGCATATAGGTCAGTGACTGTTTTCTTGGTCATCTTTTTTTGGCATTAATAAAGTCCAAGATTTTTTTTTTTCATATCTCCCTCTCTTTCAGACACCTTTCCTACAGAGAAAAATCTTAGAATGGTTTGAAGTTATTAAAGCTTAAAATTTCACTAACACTTTTGTGACAGCCTGTATATATAGCAGTATTCTCACAACTGTGTCTTCTTCAGAACAAATCTCTATAATATACATCTGTCCCAATTGGGCAGCTTTTCACATCTTTGTTATCTTTAATGTCATTTTTCTTACTCCTATAAGCTAATCTTGTATTGTGATGTTTGGGTATGTGTTCTCTTTCTACTGTCCTTGATTGTTTATTATACTAATCATTAGAGATCTTTACCATTTTTAAAAATTTATTGTTCTAAATTTATCCTTAACTGCACTGGAGATTACCATGCTTAGTGGGATTCCTTACAAAGTTTTCTTTAAATTAGTTTAACTTTCCACAGCTTCTCTATGTGTTATAAGACAATATTCCTCATAACTACGTCCATCAGCCTTCTCTAGGGGATTTTACAAAGAAGTTTATTAACTAAAACTATTGTTGCCATCCTCAACTAATGTTGCCATATTTCTTCACTTGGTATGTAAATTAACATTTATTGACTAAGGTGCTTACTGGGCTCATTTGATTTGCCTCTTGTGGCAACAGATTTAGAGTGGTTAAAGTTCTGCCTTTTAATGGCCATCCATGTCATTTTTGATGCCTATTTTCCATTTTGTTTGTTACTTCTTTAAATAATTCAGGATTGAATTGTTTCAACTGTATGCCATATCTCTTTCTCACTATTATGCTCTTGTTATATTCTTGACATGTCATATAAAAAATCATCTCCAGAACATTATAACAAGAAGGTAATATATTCTTGTTATAATCTGATCTTTTTTCTTGAAAGGGCAGTGGTCTTATTGTTCACAAATGATCCAGTGATTACTCTTACGTCAATAATAAGTTTTTTCTTACCTGTTGGATATAATCTATTTCTATTTTTTCTATTTTTGTTATTACTTATTATTTTCTATTTTTTATCTATTTTTTTGCATGCTCATTGATACTTGCCAACCCTAATACCTATCAATTTTTTTCTTGAGGAAACTGCTCCTGATACAAATGCAGAAAGCTTCTGTGTATAGCCTGCACATTGTTGGCATTTCTCTTTCCATTATCCTGAATACTTATCCTTAGTTCTACAATAAGGATGACTAAAATTCCATGAAATCATGTTTCCTGTTACCCTTGGATATATGATAAGACTAATTCTACCAGCTCCTTCTTTGTTTGCCTCCTCAAGCCTTTTAACTGTGTGACTATAGCTTTAATTTATTTGCAAAGTGCTTTACAAGTATTAATTAATTTTATACTTATAACAACTGTAGGAGGGAGGTACTATTATTACTTCCATTTTAAAGATTAGGAAACTGAGGTTCAGAGAGGTGAAGTGACTTTCCCAGGGTCAAACAGCTTGTCATTGTCTGAAGTCACATTTGATCTCAAGCCTTTTTGATTCCACACAGCACCAACTAGTGGCTGTGAATGCCTTCAGTACTCTGTTACTTTTCATTTCATTTACTCATAAATGCCCATCTTTAAAATGCTTACTCTATGCAAGGTGATTGGGAAACAAAGATTCTTTAGGCCCTACCCAAGGAGAATAACAACAAAGCTGAGATTTAAACTTCAGTCCTTGATTCCCGATCTAGTCCTCCTTTCCATGACATCACACTTCCTGTTTGGAGGGATCAGAGGAGTCCTTTTAACACTAGCCCAGGCAAAGTTTAGACAAACATGAAATATTGTGAATTCACAAATCTAAAGGAAACCATTTACTGATTATTTGTGGGTTGTCCAGAGCAACAGAGTTTAGACTTTCCTTCCCAGAGTCTAATGAAGAACAGGAAAATGTCTCCTACATTTCTGTGGGTACAACTGAAACTTTATGAGGAGTGTAGAGTGTCACCCCATGGTGAATACCCCTGTATCCCTCTGTCCTGAGACAAATAAACTGAGCAGCTTTGCCTCCTGTTTTCTGTCATCCTCCTCCAGCTCTTTTGGTCTATAATCCCCAGTCTCTATACTAGCTCAGTTGCATTGGGTGGAAACAAGATCATTTTCCATTTAAGGCAATGTTAAGTTACTTTTCTCTCACCTCTTAATTGCACTTTCTTTTACCTTCCCTTACCTACTTCCTTTATTGTTATTTTTCTATTCTTTTCTTTTCATTTTACTTGCTCCCTTTCCTCTTTGCTATTCCTTAGGCTTCCTAGCTGTTAAAATGACCTTATCTTCCCCTGGTTAGTCTTTATGCTTACTCTGAAGTTGAAGAATTCTAGCCTAGGGAGTAGTCTGAGGCATCTTTCCTTAGTAAGTATCACATATTTCCACACAAGCAAGCCCAAGTTCCCCTGATGGCCACAGTATAATCTAGAACACTCACCATCAATTGGCAGGTGTTTCAGGAGATCCTGATGTTCTTCTTCTGTAAGTGTGATCCCCATGTCCTTCAGAAAGTTTTCCAAATTTTGAACATCAATGTTTTCTGTTTACAAAAGAAGAGAATGGTGAAAGATAGGAATGTGAGAATATTTAATGACTCCAGAGGGTGAAAGATGCCACTTATTCCTGTGTCCCATCATCTTCAAATTCAAGAAGAGGAGAGTTAGCCTTTGAGATGAGCCTACATATAAAGAGAAAGTTAGTTGGGAATTCAGAAATGGAAATTACTTCCTTCTGGTTCAGAGGACTATGCTAGACTGAAGAGAACTACACTGAGAAGTATGAAATAGTCATTAGACAATTGTCTGGTGAAGACAGACAAATCAATGATGCAGTAAGTTACATAGATCTAGGTAATAAGTAGGTTTGGTTATCTTTGCATTTGTCCCAATTGTTTCAACTTGTCTGAATACAATCCTACTCTTCACCACTGGCTTGGAGAACTAGAATGTTGTCTGTCTCAACATTAGGAAAAATGAAGCAAAAACGTAACATATTATGTTCCAGGAAATTCAGGACTTGCTACAAAGGGACTGAAGAGAATCCGGCAAACTTATAAGTGGATTTAAATAGAGTGATGATCATTTAGCACATTTATCTACAATAGGGAGCGTCACAGTTGTTATCCTGGACTCATGATTCTTTCTCACCACCCCATATCTAATCAGTTGCTGGATCTTGTCACTTCTTCCTCCATAACATCTCTCACATATACCCCCTTTTATTTTTACTCACACAGCCACATCCTTAGCTTGTCACCATCCATCTCTCCCTTGAACAGCCTCTCATTGGTCCTCATAACTCAATAGTCCCTTATCCCTCCAATCCTTCTTTCAAAAAGGCGCCAACCTGATTCTGTTTAAGCACAGATCTACTGACTTGTGTCACTCAGTAAACTCCCCTGCTTCCCTATTTCTCCTGGATCAAATACATAAATTCCTGTCTCTATGGATTTTACAACCTGGCCCCAACCTATCTTTCTAGTGTCATTATACATCACTTTCCCTTGCCTACTTTCTGTTCCTCACATATGGCCTTCCATTTCCTGTCTCTATATTATCTTACTAGCTGTTCCCTACAGTCTCCTTACTTCTATGTCAGAGTCTCTGTCTCTTCCTTTAAGGTGAACCACAATCTATCAGGAGACTTTCCTGATTCCTGCACTGCTAGGACCCTTCCTCCCAAATTATGTTGTATTTATTCTGCATATATTCATATGTGTACATGTTTTCTTTCCCAAGAGAAGGCAAACTCCTTGTGAGCTGGGATCATTTAATTTTCTTTTTCTTTTTATCTCCCGTGCCTGGCATAGATGTTGTGGACACTTAAATGTTTACAAATTGATCATCTCTGTCTATGCAGATCAAGAAATTATTTATAATATATGCTATTTAGGATGCTGCCTGAGAAGGGAAGTAATTTGCCCGATAGTCACACAGCTACTAAGTGTCAGAAGCACGTCATGAATTCAGGACTTCTTGACTCTAAGACTATACCTCTCTCTACGATGCCATGCTTCCTCTTATGGATTTTTTCTGAAAAATGTTGAGATGTCATTTTTACATACCTTCTCATCATAACTTCTTACTCACCTTTAATAGATTTCACATTATCCAAAAGTTTTTTCAGGTCGACCCTTCCAATAGCTGCAAGATAAGGCAGAGGTTAGACAGAAACTTGAGGATACAGAGCCTCACAAAAATAGTATTACATACATTTTGAAATTATGAGATAAACCAGAAGTACTCAACAGTTTTCTCTGAAGTCAGGAATTTTATCCTATTTTCTCTGAAGATTAATTTATAATTGGCAACTAAGAAATAAAAAAAGCCATCAATCTGTAAACTGATGATAATAATAGTAATAATAATAGTTAACATTTACATAAGACTTTAAGATTTGCAAAGTACTTTTCAAATATTAACTCATTTTATCCTCACAAGAACCTCACGAGCCAGGTGTTGTTATTGTCTCTTTTTTACAGATGAGGAAACGGAGGCTTAGAGAGGTTAAATGACTTGCCTAGGTTACAAAGCTAATACTTGTCTCAGGCTTTGAACTCGGGTCTTCCGGATTCTGGGTCCAGTTCTATATCCGCTATATCCACCCAGCTACCTACACAATCATTCAGGGAGCTTCCCTTCTCTTTGCTAATGAATATCAGAAGAACTTTTATTGTAATCAAATATTATATTTTCACATATAAGATTCAGGACATTGTAGGAATAAGATTGAAAAAATTGGCCCCTTCCTATCTCTTGGCTTCATTTTCCTCCCTTATGAAATGAATGGGCTGGACTAGGTGATCTCCATGTCCCTTCTCAGCCTGCACATGATATGACCCTGTGTACTAGGAAACTCCTCTTTAAAAATTTTTGATAACAGAAGCAAAAGAGGACCACGATCTTGTATGTAGTTAATATTTTATGTATCTTTGCAAATTTGTTTCATCTAATTGGTTAAGTGTAAGATACATTGTCTATGAGGAAATAAAAGTTTAACTTTATTATAAAAATATTATGTTTAAATAGCATTTAAATTATTCAAATGGAAACAGGTATGACCCCTTCAGGAGAACAATCCCATTTAGTAGGCTCACTTTGTTTAAACTCCAGAAATTGAAGCATTTAACTGAAGAAATTTATGCTATTCAAATCAAATGTGGGATAAATGACATTTATACATCCCTTTGAAATGTACAAAGTGTAGGCCTCTTCATTCTAGCATAGATTGGACCAGAGGGAAACAATTTCTATTTCTGAATTACCAGGTGACTTTCCATTTAGGTGTAGGCTCGTGTCAAAGGCTAACTCTCCTCTTCTTGTTGAATTTGGAGATGATAAGACATAGGAATAAGTGGCATCTTTCACCCTCTGGAGTCATTACATATTCCTCACATTCTTATCTTTCACCATTCTCATCTTTTATAAACAAGGTTGCTGCGAGTTCAGTGCTATAGGAATCATTACTAAGCTTGTAGCAGCTAAGTGGTACAATGGAGGGAGGGTCAGGCCTGGAGTCAAGAAGACTCATCTTTCTGAGTTCAAATCAGGCCTGAGACACTTATTAACTGTGTGACCCTGGGCAAGTCACTTTACCCTGTTTCCATCAGTTTCCTCAGTTATAAAATGAGCTGGAGAATGAATGGCAAACCACTCCAGTATCTTTGCCAAGAAAACCCCAAATGGGGTCACAAAGATTTGGACAGGACTGAAAAACAACTGAACTACAATAAAAATCTTCTGAGTGTCATCCTCAACTCCTCCTTTTCCCCTCATCCTCAAATCCAATCAATTGCCAAGACCCGTTGGTTCTCCTTCAATAATCTATCTACTTGCATTTCTCAACCCACACTTACACTGCTCATTTGCATGTGTCAATTTAATTTAGTTACAGTATTCACTTTGCTTTTTGGCCATAAGTGACTCTTTTTTTTTTTTTTTTGAGAGGCTATTGGGGTTAAATGACTTGTGCTCTATCCACTGTGCCGCCTAGCTGCCCCCATAAGTGACTCTCAAAGGCACCCTAAGAAATGAGAGAACATTTGCAAAATATGTTGGTGGAGGGAATACTCACACTGACAAGGACGTGGCTTCTTTGAAACAATGAAGACTCATACCCCTTGACAAATGGCCAGAAGGGCCTAGAGGTGAGGACCCTGTATTCTTTTTTTTTTATGAAATCATGAATTTTGGACCAGTTAGAGGCCCTGTTTAGTCTTTTCAATTGCAAACCACTTTTCAAACTTATAACACACATATCTTCCATTTACATTGTCATGTAAATTTTAAAAAACTCTGCTAGCAAATCAACAGGGGTCTACTGTACAAGACAAATAATGCTAAGTGGATAAGGGATCATCTTTAGAAGACTGGCCACTAGATAATGATTTTTTCTTGGTCAAAGAAAGATGAAAGGAAATCCTTAGGTGTGCATTGGTTGCATTCTGCTCAATATACTCACACCAATGAAAACATGGATCTTTTGAAATAATAATAATAGCTAGTATTTACATAGTACTTTAAGTTTGAAACGATATGTATATGCATATATATATTTAATTTTTTTCTCATTTCACTCTCACAGCAACTATGTATCAGGTACTATTACTATGCTCATTTTAGAGCATATGGGAAAGGGAGGTTAAGTGAGGACAAGTGATTTGTCCAGGATCATACTGTAAGTGTCTAAAGCAGGATTTGAACTCTGGTCTTCTTGAGTTCAAATCCAGTACTAGAAAATTTCATCTGGCTAGTTAGGATTCCTTGATTCACACTGGGTTTCTCTCCTTAAAGAGGACCACTAGACAGCTCAGGTGGGGCCTGTGGTAAAGAGTAAGGAGTCTTTCATTCCTGGGTTCTACTCAGTGGCATTCTGGGAAACTCTTGACTAGAAGGTTCAGTCAGAGATAATATTTTATCAAACATTATGATGGGTTTTCTCTATAGGTATTTTTATCTTTTCATGTGAACTAAATTAGAATCCTTTCAGAAATTCTCAGACAGGAAATCAAAGCTTCCCCAAAAGCACACAGGGGCATAAGAAATGCTCACCATTAACAGGCAGGTTACTCAATAGCTCCTCAATTTCGATACCTGTGAGCTTGATCCCCAGGTTTCCCAGAACCTTGTCCAAGTTGTTAATATCAACATTCCCTCCTTCAGAAAGAAGAAAATTGAAGAACGTAATCAATCAAGCATTTATTAAGTCCTTATTATATGTTACATACTGTATTAAATTGTAGGGATTCAAAGCCAAGTCATCAATAAGCATCTATTAAGTCCTTCCTATATGCCAGGCAAACATGCTAAGTGCTGGGAATAAAAAGAAAATCAAAAGCAATGTCCCTTCCGTCAAGGAGTTCACAGTCTAATGGGAGAGACAAGTAAGAAAAATATGGAATTGTGTGTAAGAGGGACAAATTGTACAAAACTTACACGTAAATACAATTATCTTATGAATTTCAGAACTGGATTCAGCATTCCTAGATTGAGGGTGAGATAATACAAATAACAATTCACATGTATAAAGTACTTTCCAAATGCTGTCCAAACTCATTTTGAAAGACACAGCGACAGTTTCTAAGGCTATACATGGAAAGTCATTGAGAGAGCTTGGAAGATGATCTGTTGCTATAATCCTGGTCCAAGAGACCCTGACAATCTTTTCAAGAGAAGCCTTCATACCACACAGTAAGAAATGTATTGGTTAAGGCCGATGGATTCTGGCAAAGCAGATAGCTAATCTACAGACTTTGGCCATGGGGTTTGAAGTTCTCTGCAGTGACAGAATCTGGTGAATTGCCTCCTCCAGTGTGTCTGGACATAAAGAATTGGAGGTCAAGAGGCAGAAATGTTGAATCAGTACATAGGAAGAATAAGAGAATTCATATTATAATCACTGAGAAGAAATAAAATACTTTTTCACTCACCGCTGAGATTCTGCAAGGCATTCATTACATTTTTCAGCTTCACCTTCCCATTGGCTGTAAGTGAAAGTACAATTCAGGTCACAGAGGGAGTAACAGAGAATTACAATAGCACAGAGTTCATCATTTTGTAAACCCAGCCTATATAGACTATCCTATGCCTTTCTTGCTCCCCCAAATGATAATGAAGAAAAAAGAGCTCTCAAGGGAATGAATCCATCCCTTTCATTAACACAGATTCTTCTGACTCTGTGGTAAAAAATCCATTATAGTGAATGGACGATTTATTGTAGAGAAAAGCTTTTCTTCAAATAGGCATTATTTTCGGGGCAGCTAGGTGGCACAGTGGATAGAGCATCAGGCCTGAAGTCAAGAGGACCTGAGTTCAAATCTGGCCTCAGACCAAACACTTGACACTTACTAGCTGTGTGACCCTGGGCAAGTCACTTAACCCCCGTTGCCTTAAATAAATAAATAAACAGACAAATAAATAAATAAATAAACAGACAAATAGGTATTATTTAAGGAAATAGTAGATGGTGCTGGTTTGGAAACAGGCTGTTTTTTTGTTAAGTGAAACTGTGAATCTGTATGATGTATAACTTTTTAATCTACTTGGCTTTCCCTGTGGGAATGGTTTACACAAACTCTTGAGTGGTTACACAGCTTTTCCCAGAGGCTATGCAATATTCCAATTTTGATGCAACCAGCAAAATGTCACCTCTAAACAAGACTATCCAGAGGACTTAATCATCCATCAAGAAACCATCTTCAACTTGGACTCTATACCAGATCTCTTTCATTACAGAGGTGAATATCTTTTGTCACCGTATATATCTCTCCTTTTAACCTGATATTTGTCATTAGAGGTTCATTGAACAGGGTTATTTCTATTGTTATACGCTTCACGGAACCTAGATGGGTCTTCAAATAGGGACAGGAAATACCCTATTGGAAAAGTGACTCTAAGGTGTTCTTTTGGTCTACTGAATCAAAAACTTTTTCATAATTGGCAGACAATAAGCAAAATGTGGGCTTATGTTTTCTACATCCTTCACTCAAGTACAAAATGACAAAAATGTTGTCTGTTGTTGAATATCTCTTGCAAACACATCCTTGTTTTCTACTAATACCCTCATCAAGGATGCCCTTGAATTGTGTATAAATGACTCATATAAAAGTTTTATATTGGTGAAAGAATAGGCATATAGATAAGTGATTGTTGATTTTTTATCAGTCATCTATTTATTAATATTGTTAAATTTATTAATAAGATCCAAGTTTTTTTTTCATATTCTCCTCTTTCAGAAATCTTTCATATACAAGATGTCTCAAAAGTCTAAGTATAGTTTAAAGCTATTAAGGCTGAAAATTGCACTAAGACTTTTGGGACAGCCTCTTTATCCATCAATACTCTCAAAATTGTGTTTCCTTAACTTTCTATATGCATGTGTTCCAACTAGGCAGCTTTTCTCATCTTTTTTTCTCCTTTATGTGATTTCTATCCCTCCTACAATCATATCCTGGATTGTGATGTTTGGTTACAAGTGTTCCCTCCATACTGCTTTTGATGGCTTGTTATAGTTTGTTATAGTAATCATTAGAGATTTTTTCCATTTTCTTTTATTTATTATTCTATATCTACCCTTAAATGCACTAGATATCACTGTGCCTACAGGGATTCCATACAAAGTTCTTTAGATTGGTTTAACTTTCCATAGCTTCTGTATGCTTTATGAGACAACATTGCTTAACTATGTCTACAGTCCTTCTCTATGAGATTTTATAAACAAGTTTATGTTGGGATATTTCTTCACTTGCCATGTAAGTCAAACATTTACTGACTAAAGTGATTACTGGGCTTGTTTGATTTTCTTCTTGTGTCAACAGATTTAGAGTGGTTAAACTTCTGCCTTTTAATTGTTTTCAATGTCATTTTTGATGCCTGTTTAACATTTTTATTTGTTTATTACTTATTTAAATAATTCAAGATTCGATCATTTTAACTCTATGTTATATCTCTTTCTCACCATTATGTTCATAATTTTAAAATTATTTATATATTCTTTATATGTCATATTAAGCATAATATCCAGATTATTATAACAAGAATATATTCTTTTTATATTCATATCTTTTTCTTGACAAGGCAGTAGTCTTAATTGTTCACAGCTAATGTAGTGATTACTCTTACATCAATAGTAACTCTTTTCTTACCTGTTAATATACAATCTATTTAATTTTTTTGCAGTGCTTTTTAATGCTTGCCAACCCTAGCACCTGCCAATTCTTTTCTTGAAGATGTTCCTGATACAAATGCATAAAGCTTGTATATAGTCTACACTTTCCCTTACCCTGAATACTTATCTTTAGTTCTACAATAAGGAATTACTGAATATTCCATGAAATCATGTTTCTTGTTGCCCTTGGATGTATGATAAGACCAACTCCACCAACTTCTTTTTTGTTTGCCATTTAACTGTGTGGCTATAGCTTTCATTTGGTTGCAAAATGATTTACAAATATTAACTCATTTTATCTTCAAAACAACCTGAGGTGGCAGGTACTATTATTATTTCCATTTCACAGATGAAGAAACTGAGGCAATCAGAGTTTAAGTGACTTTCCCAGGGTTACATTGTTGGTAAATGTCTAAAGCCCTATTTAAATTCACATCTTCCTGATTCCACACACAGCACTTTATCTATTGTACCACCTAGCTGCTGTGAGTGCCTTCAGTCCTCATTTACATTTCATTTCATTCACTCGCAAATGCCCATTTTAAAAATGCTTACTACAAAAATACTTTGGTATTTGGTAGAACTATTTCCTTGTTTTTGTCTTTGTATCTCAAGTGCTTCGCGCACATCTAAATATTACAAAAATTCTTTGGGTCCTACCCATTGAGAGTTAACAACAAAGCTGAGATTTGAATTTCAGTCCTTGATTCCTAATCTAGTCCTCCTTTCCATGACACCACACTTCCTCTTTGGAGGGATCTGAGGAGTCCTTTTAACATTAGCCCCAGCAAAGTTTAGACAAACATGAAATATTGTGAATTCCCAAAACTAAAAGGAAACTTTACTGAGTATTTCTAGGTTGGTTGGAGCAGCAGAGTTTAGGCTTGCCTCCTCAGAATCTAATGAACGACAAGAAAATGCTCCCTACATTTCTCTGGGTACCATTGAAATTTTACAAGAAGTGTGGAGAGTCATCCCATTGTGAACATCTCTGTATCCCTCTGCTCTGAGACAAATAAACCGAACAGCTTTGCGTCCTGTTTTCTCTCATACTGCTCTAGCTCTTTTGGTTCATAATCCCCAGCCCCTATGCTAGACCACTTGGGTTGGGTGGGAACAAGATCACTTTCCATTTGAGGCAATATTGGGTTACTTTTATGTCACTCCTTAACTCTACTCTCTTCTACCTTCCCTCACCCACTTTCTTAATTTTTATTCTTCTATTCATTTCTTTTCATTTTACTTGCTTTCCTTTCTCTTTACTATTCATTAGGTTTCCTAGTTGCTAAAATGACCTTATCTTCCACTGGTTCGTCTTTATGCTTGCATCGAAGTTGAAGAACTCTAGCCTAGGGAGTAGTCTGAGGCATCTTTCTTTAGGAAGAAAGTATCAGATATCTTCACACAAGCAAACCCAAGTTCCCCTGATGGCCACAGTATAATCTGGAACCCTCACCATCAATTGGCAGGTATTTCAGGAGATCCTGATATTCATCTTCTGTGAGTATGATCCCCATGTCCTTCAGAAAGTTTTCCAGGTTTTGAGCATCAGTGTTTTCTGTTTACAAAAGACGAGAATAGTGAATGATGGGAATGTGAGGAATATGTAATGACTCCAGAGGGTGAAAGATGCCACTTATTCCTATGTCTTATCATCTCCAAATTCAACAAGAAGAGGAGAGTTAGCCTTTGAGATGAGCCTACACCTAAATAGAAAGTCACCTGGTAATTAAAAAAATAGAAATTATTTCCTTCTGGTTCTGGGAAATATACCAGACTAAACAGGCCTACATTAAGGAATGTGAAATGGTTATTAGACAATTGCCTGATGAAGATTGACAAATCAATGATGCATTAAGCTACATAGGTCTAGCTAATAAGCAAAGTTGGATTATCTTTGCCTTTACCCCAACTATTTTGACTTGTCTGAATACAATCCCCCTCTTCACCACTGGCTAGGAGAGCTAGAATGTTGTCTGTCTTAACCTTAGGAAAAATGAAACAAAAACAAAACATAGTACATTCCAGGAAATTCATGACTTGCTACAAAAAGAATGGGGAGTATTTGGCAAGCTTCTTAGTGGCTCTAAATAGAGTGATGATCATTTAACACATTCACCCACAATAGGTAGTGCCACAATTGTTATCATGGACTCCTGAACTTTTTCTCCCTCTACCCCCTTCCCCTTATCCAATCAGTTACTGAATGCTGCCACTTCTCTCTTGACAACATCTCTCACATGTACCCCGTTTTGTTTCCACTCACATAATGACATTTTTAGCTCAAGTAATCATCAGTTTTTCCCTTGAAGACATGTTATAATGCCCCCAATCAGTCTTCCTGCCTCAAGAGTCTCTTTCTTTCTCTATCTTCTACACAGCTTCCAACCTGATTCTGTTTAAGCACAGATGTACTGGCCATGTCGTTTAACAAACTCCCCTGGTTCCCTATTTTTTCTTGATCAAATATGTAAACTCCTGCCTTTATGGTTTTACAGCTCTTCACAACCTAGCTCCAACTTATCTTTCTAGTCTCATTATATATCACTTGCCCTTGCCTACTTTATTGTTCCTCACACATGGCTTTTCATTTCCTGCCTCTGTATTATCTTACCAGCTATCCTCTATGCTCTCCTTACTTCCACCTCAGCGTCCCTCTCTTCCTTCAAGGTGAACCACCATCTCTGCCAGAAATTCTATGAGGAGCCTTTCCTGATTTCCCCACTGCTAGAGACATCCCTCTCAAATTATGTTGTATTTATTCTGCATATGTTTACATGTGTACATGTTGTGTTGCCCATGAGAAGACCAGCTCCTTGTGAGGTAGAACTATTTACTTGTTTTTGTCTTTGTATCTCAAGTGCTTCGCACTCATCTAATGGGCACCTAATGAATGCTGGCAAGTTGATTACCTCTGTCTATGCATATCAACAGATTATTTTTATATATACTGTTTAGGAAGTTGCCTGAAAAAGGAAGTAATTTGCCCCACAGTTACACAACTAGTAAATGTCAGAGGCAGGATTTCAATACAGGGCATGTTGACTTTAAGGCAACATCTCTATCCACTATGCCATACTTCCTCTCATGAATTTCTGTGAAAAATATTGAGATTTATCTACTTTCTTATCATAACTTCTCACTCACCTTTAATGGATTTCACGTTATCCATAACTTTTTTCAGGGTGATCATCCCATCAGCTGTAAGACAAGGAAGAGATTAGATAGGAACCCGAGGATGCAGAGTCTCACAAAAATAATATTATATTACATCCTGAAATTATGAGATAAGCCAGAATAATTTAACAGTTTTCTCTGAAATCACATAATTATATAGAATTTTATCCTATTTTCTCTAAAGATTAATTTATAATAGGCACCTGAGAAATGAAGAAAGCTCTCAATCTACAAATTGATGATAATAATAGTAATAATAATGAATAGTATTTACATAGGGCTTTAATGTTTCTAACACGCTTTACAAATATCAACTCATTTTATCCTCAAAACAACTGTTGGAGGCAGATTCTATTATTATCTCCCCTTTAGAGATAAGGAAACTGAGGCTGAGAGAGGTTAAATGATTTGCTAGGCTTACACAGGTAGCTAGGTGATGCAGTGGATAAAATGCCAGTTCTGGAATCAGGAAGACTCATTTTCATGAGTTCAAATCTGGCCTCAGACATTTACGAGCTGTGTTACCCTGGGCAAGTCATCTAACTCTATTTTGCCTCAGTTTTCTCATTTGTAAAATGAGCTGGAGAAGGAAATGGCAAACCACTTTAGCTTCTTTGCCAAAAAAATCTACCTTGGAGTTCCACTGAATAGGACAAGACTGAAATGACAGTAAAATAGCAAAAAAAGAGTTACACAGCTAGTTCATGTCTACGGCTTTGAACACAGATCCTCCTGACTCTGGGTCCAGGCCTAAATCCACTCTATCATGTAATTATCTCACAGAATCATTCAGAGAGCTTCCCTTCTCTTAGCTATTGAATATCAGAAGAACATGTATATTAATTGGACATTTTATTTTGGCATATGAGATTCCAGACATTTTAAGAGTAAGATGGAATGAATTGGCCCCTTCCTATCTCTTGGCCCCCACTTCCTCCTCTGTGAAATGAAGGGACTAAGGTGATCTCCATGTCCCTTCCCAGCATGGGCATGATATGACCCTGTATATTACGAAACTTCCATTTTTTTAAATAACACAAGGAAAAGAGGATCTAGTTTTCTCCTTTGACTATGGTTAATATTTTATGTATCTTTGAAAATTTGCTTTGCTTGTCTAATTGGTTAAATGGAAGACATATTGTCTATGAGGAAACAAATATGTAACTTTATTATAAAAAGATTATGTTTAAATAGTATTTAAATTATTCAGGTGGAAGCAGGTATGTCACCTTTAGGAGAACCATCCCATTTAGTAGGCTCACTTGGTTAAAAGCCCAGAAATTGGAGCATTTAACTAAAGAAGAAGTTTATGCAATTCAGACCAAATATGTGATAAATGGCATATGTCCATCTCTTTTTAAAATGTACAAAGTATTTTACATAAATGATCTCATTTCACTCTTGTATATGCATATATATGTATATATATGTATGATTTTTAAAAATTTTATTCTTACAACAACCTCATGCAGCAGACACTATTACTATTCCTATTTTAGAATGAGGAAAGAGAGGTCAAATGAGGAGAAGTGACTTGTCCAGGATTATACCATAAATGTCTAAAGCAGGATTTGAACTTAGATTTTCTTGAGTCCAAGTCCAGTACTAGAAAATTTCATCTGGCTGGTTACAATTCTCTGATTCACATTGGACTTTTCTCCTTAAAGAGGATCACTAGGCAGCTTAGGTGGAGCCTATGGTAAAGAGTAAGGAGTCTTCCATTCCTGCGTTCTACTCATTGGCATTCAGGGAGACTCTCGACTTGAAGGTTCAGTCAGAGATAATATTTAATCATGCATTATGATGGATATTCTCTACAGATATTTCTATCTTTCCACGTGAACAAAATTAAGATCCTTTTGGAAATTCTCAGACAGGAAATCAAAGCTTCCACAAAAACACAAAGATGGTAGGAAAGGCTTACCATCAACTGGCAGGTTATTCAATAGCTCCTCAATTTCTCCATCTGTGAGCTTGATCCCCAGGTTTCCCAGAACATTTTCCACGTTGTTAATGTTAACATTCCCTCCTTCAGAAAGAAGAAAATTGAAGAACATAATCAATCAAACATTTATCAAGTCTTATTATATGTTAGATACTGTACTAAGTTGTAGGGATTCAAAGCCAAGTCAAGTCAACAAATATCTATTAAGTGCTTACTATGTGCTAGGCAATGTGCTAAGTGTTGGGAATAAAAAGAAAATCAAAAGCATTGTTTCTGCCCTCAAGGAGCTCACAGTCTAATGGGTGGGGCAAATAAGAAAAATATGGAATCGTGCCCAAGAGAGACAAATTGTATAAAGCATATATGTAAATACAATTATCCTATGGATTTCAGAACTGTATTATCATTCCTAGTTTGAGAGTGGGATAATACAAATAACAATTCTAAGGACACACATGGAGAGTCACTGGGAGAGCTTGGAAAATGATCTGTTGCTGCGATCCTGGTCCAAGAGACCCTGACAATCTTTTCAAGAGAAGCCTTCATAGCACACAGTAAGGAATGAATTGGTCAAAGCTGATGGATTCTGGCAAAACAGACAACTAATCTACATACTTTAGGCCAAGAGGTTTGAAGTTCTCTATAGTGATAGAATCTGGTGAATTACTTCTTCCAGGGTGGCTATACATAAAGGACTGAAGGTCATGAAGCAGAATTGAATCAGTAAATTGGAGGGATAAGAGAATTCATGTTATAATCGCTGAGAAGAAATAAAACAGTTTTTCACTTACCACTGAGATTTTGCAAGGCATTCATTATAATTTTCTCATTCACCTTTCCTTTGGCTGTAAGAGAAGGTGCAATTCAGGTCATGGAGGAAGTAACAGAGAATTACAATAATAGCACAGAGTTCATCATTTTGTAAACCCAGCCTATAAAGACTGTCCTATTACTTCCTTGCTCCACCACATAATGATGAAGTGAAGAAATAGAGCCCTCAAGGGAATGAATTTATCTCTTTCATTAACAGAGATTTTTCTGACTTTGTGGTAACACAATCTATTATAGTGAATGAAGGCTTTATTACAGAGAAAAGCTTTCCTTCAAACAGGTATTATTTCACAAAATCTTGACTAAAGTACCTTTTAAAAGGAAATAGTAGACAGTACAAGTTTTGAAACAGGTTTTTTTTTGTGTGGGGGGTATGTCAAACTATCTTTATTAAGAATAAGTTGTTCATTGTGGCATGACTAACTTTGATAGATTTAGCTCTTAGCAATGCAAGGTCTAAGACAACTCCAAAAGACTCATGATGGAAAATGCTATCCACATCCAGAAAAAGAACTATGGAGTCTGAATGCAGATTGCAGCATACTATTTGCTTTCTCTCTCTGTCTTTTTTTTCTTTCTCATGGCTCCTCTCATTGGTTCTAATTCTTCTTTACAACATGACTAAGGTGAAAATGTTTAATGTGAATGTATATGTAGAGCCTATATCAGATTGCACGCCATCTTAGGGAGGGGGAAAAGAAAAGAGGGGAGAAAAATTTGGAATTCAAAATCTTATGGAAGTAAATGTTGAAAACTAAAAATAAATTAACGAATTAAAGAAAAAAAGAATAAGTTGTTTTTAAAAGCATATGATAAGTTTAACAATGTACTGACAACACTGTGCTTTCTTTATGATTTTTCTGCACTCCTGTTCTCTTTTGTGTATTTTATACATCTTTCATTGATGTTCTTTTTATTCTTTTTTCATCATTATCACTACTTTCTTCTCCTCCCCATTACTGTCATCCCTCTTCCCCCTCAATAAGAACCCTAGCTTATAATAAATAAAAAGAGTCAAGGAAAACATATATCTTATTTATACTTCTAGTCTATAAATTCTCTGGGAAGAGATTAGAATTATGATTCATAAACAGTCTTCTGAAGTCAGCACTCCAATTTTAAGTCTTTAAAAGTTGCTTTTGTTTATGTTGTAATCATTTTATAAGATTTTTCTTGGTTCCACTCACTTCACTCAGCAACAGTTCATAAAAGTCTTCCCATGTTTCTCTGAAGTTATCCCATGTGGTGTTTCTTATGGTGTAATAGTATTCTATTACATTCAAATATAGTAATTTCATTAGCCATCCTCCAACTGATATATACCTTGTAAGTTTCCAATTATTTTCTATAACAAAAAATGATGCTATACATTTTTTATTTTGTGCCTTTGAGTCTTTATGTCTTTCTTTGAACTTTTTAAGGACATAAACCAAGAAGCTATATAGATGAATAAAAGGGTATGAAAAGTTTTTTTTTTAACTATAGCCTCAAATTGCTTTTCAGAATAGCTGGACTAATTCACAACTTCACCAACACTGCACTGATATAACTGTCTTCCCAGGGTCTCTCCAAATTTTCTGAATAAGTACGTTAACTTAGCTAATATTGCCATTTCTGTTATGTTGACATGGGACCTAAACATGAGAAAATAACATTCTTTCATTTATTTAATAATGCTTATTTCTTTAAATGGTGTTTTTTTTAGTTATATGCATATAATTTTTCTCTCCATCATGGTAGCTGGACTCCTCAAAATTATATAATTCTGTAGTTATTTTTAGTGTAATACCTTTTAAAAAATCTCTTCCTGCTTTGTTTTGTTTGCTACATATAGAAAGTTTGAAAATTTGGGTGGTTTTATTTTATATTTTTCTATTTTACTGAAGGTGATTCAATTAAGCTTTAGTTGAATCTCTAGGTTCCTCTAAATAGTCATATCATCTGTAAAAAAATAATAATTTTGTTTCCCTTCTGCCTGTACTTCTTTCTTCAATTTATATTTTTTATTGCAATAGATGGAAATACATCAAATCATAGTGGTGATAATGGAAATCCTTGTTTTACCTCAGCCTGACTGGGAAAGGGCATCCATTTCTCATCCAAAGACAGCCCTATTTGTTGCCAAATAGAGCACACATCCATTTAAGTAGAACAGCTTCCCTAATAAGTTTCCCTGCATGATAAGATGCTCAGACATATTCAAATAGATTTGTTTGGGAGTTCCCCGCAAAGTGGTAGGTAATGGCAGAATACTAAACTTGGAGTCTGAGATTTAGGATTAAATTATGCCTCATATGATTACGAGCTGTGTGACCCTAGGCAAATCACTTAATCTCTTTGGGTCTCAGTTTTCATTATCTATGAAATGAGGAGTTTGGATCAGATGACCTCTAAGGTCCCTATTAGCTCTAAATATATTAGTAAGCCATCCATGCCTACATATCTTGAGTGACTTTTGTCCATGCCCTGCCAGAATTTTGCCATAAGGCTACCACCCAACTTACTGGGTGCTTTCTTTTCCCTATACTGACATTATTAAAGTACTAGTGGAGTACTCTGTTTATCTACTTGTTAATCCCTAACCTTTGCCCTGTGATAACCCTATTTAACACCTGTTATTCAAAGTTTCTCACTGGTTATTTGTTGTATTTGATAACACCCACCATGCACTTCTCTATTGTCCTGTGTGTGATATTCATTTTTAATTCTTTGGAGAGTGTTGTATTCCTTGTCTCACTAGAAGTAACATTGGCAGAATGTTGGTATTAAAAATTGTGCCTTTTGGTATAATTAATGGACCTTTAAATTTTATAAATTGCATCCTAGCCTACTTGTCTCTTAAACTCTGGGAGTAACTGGTCCATCTTTATTCCTCCTCCCAGATATGCACACTTAAGGATAAGTTCTGTAAGTTATAATAAAAAGGCATGTCAGGGGCAGCTAGGTGGCGCAGTGGATAGAGCACCGGCCCTGAAGTCAGGAGGACCTGAGTTCAAATACGACCTCAGACCAACACTTGACACTTATTAGCTGTGTGACCCTGGGCAAGTCACTTAACCCCAATTGCCTTAAAAAAAAAGGCATGTCATGATTTGTGTCATGGACATTCTTCATCTACTTGGCCTTCCCTGTATGGATAGTTTACACAAACTCTTGAGTGGTTACAGAGCTTTTCCCAGAGGCTATGCAATATTCCAGGCTTTGATGCAACCAACAAAATGTCATCCCCAAAACAAGACTACCTGGAGGACTTAACCATCCACCAAGAAAACATCTTCAACTTAGATTCTCCACTGCATCTCAATCACAGTGGTGAATACCTTTTGTCACCATGCATATCTTTCTTTTATGCCTCACTTAATGTTTGTGATTAGAGGTGCATTGAACAGGGTTATTAGTTATACCTTTCAAGGAATCTAGATTAATTTTTACATATGGACAAAAATATCATGTTGGAAAAGTGACTCTAAGGTGTTCTTTTGCTCTACTGAATCAAATACTTCTTCATAATTGACAAACAATAATCAAAATGTGAGCTTTTATTTTCTACACTTTTCATTCAAGTACAAAATGACAAAGATGTTGTCTGTTGTTGAATATCTCTTGCAAACACATGCTTATTTCCTACTAATACCCTCATCAAGGATGTTCTTGAATTGTGTGTAAATGACTCATATAAAGATTTTGTATTGGTGAAAGAGTAGCCATATAGGTAAGGGATTGTTGATTTTTCCTTAGTCACCTATTTATTAATATTATTAATAATATTAAATTTGCTAATAAGATCCAAGTTTTTTTTTTTGTATCATCTTCTCTTTCAGAAACCTTTCATATACAAGGTGTCTCAAAAGTTTTCAGTATAGTTTAAAGCTATTAAGGCTGAAAATTGCACTAAGACTTTTGGCTGGCCTCTTTATCTATCAGTACTCTTACAATGTGTCTTCTTCAGAACCATTTTCTATATATATTTGGTCCAACCAGGCTGCTTTTCTAATTTATTTTCTCTTTAATGCTACTTCTATCCCTCTTATAATCTTATACTGGATTATGATGTTTGGTTACAAGTGTTCTCTCTCTACAACTCTTGATGATTAGTTCATTATACAAATTGTTATACAGATCTCTTCCATTGTCATTATTTATTGTTCTATATTTATCCTTAAATTCACTGGAGATTACTTTGCTTAAGGGGATTCTTTACAAAGTTTTCTTTAAATTGGTTTAACTTTCTACAGCTTCTCTATTCTTTATGAGACAATGTTGCTTTATAACAATGTCCATCATTCTTCTCCATAAGATTTTACATGTTTACAAGTTTACAAACTGAAACTAGTGTTGCCATATTTCTTCACTTGGCATGTAAGTCAAACATTTACTGCTTATGGGGCTCATTTGGTTTTTCTCTTGTGATTTAGAGTGGTTAAAGTTTTGCCTTTTAATGGCCATTCATGTCATTTTTGATGCCTATTTTCCATTTTCATTGTTAGTTACCTGTTGAAATAATTCAAGATTCAATCGCTTCTACTGTATGCCATATTTCTATCTCACCATTATCTTTATAATTTTTATATTTGTCATATTTCATATCAATCATTATATCCCAAATATTATAATAAGAAGATAATACATTATTTTTATATCCTGATCTGTTTCTTGACAATGTAGTGGTCTTATTGTTCTGATGCAGTGATTACTCTTATAGCAATAATAAGTCAATGTAATTAATTTCACTTTTTTGCAATGCTCTTTGGTGCTCGCCAAACCTAGCACCTACCAATTCTTTTCTCAAAGAAACTGTTCCTGATACAAATGCATAAAGTATAGTCTACAAATTCCTGGATCTCTCTTTCCCTTATCCTGAATACTTATCCTTAGTTCTACAATAAGGGATGACCAAATATTTTATGAAATCATATTTCTTGTTGCCTTTGCTTGTATGATAAGACCAACTCCACCAGTTCCTTCTTTGTTTGCCTCGTCAAGCCATTTAACTGTGTGATTATAGTTTTCATTGAGTTGCAAAGTGCTTTACAAATATTAACTAATTTTACACTAATAACAACCCTGGTGCTATTATTATTATTCCCATTTCTCAGATGAAGAAACTAAATTTTGGAGAGGTTAAGTGACTTTCCAAGGATCACACAGCTAGTCAATATCTGAGGCCTCATTTAAACTCAGATCTTTCTGATTCTACACACAACATTTTATCTACTGCACCATCTAAGTGCCTTGAGTACCTTCAATACTCTATTATTTTTCATTTTGTTCACTCACTTTTAAAATGCTTACTTTATGCTAGGTGGTAGGCAAAATAAAGCTTTTTCAAGTACTACCTAAGAAGAATAACAACAAAGCTGAGATTTAAACTTCAGTCCTTGATTCCCAATCTAGTCCTCCTTTCCATGACAACACACTTCCTCTTGGAGGAATTTAATACTAGCCCAGACAAAATTTTAGAGAAATTATGAAATATTGTGAATTCCCAGATCTAAAGGAAACCATTTACTGATTATTTCTAGATTGGCCAGAGCAGTAAAGTTTAGACTTGCCTTCTCAGAGACTAATAAAGAATAAGAAAACATTCCCAATATTTCTGAGGGTACCAATGAAATTTTATAAGTAGTGTGGAGTGTCACCTCATGGTAAATAACCCTGTATCTTCTGCCCTGAGACAAATAAACTGAGCAACTTTGCCTCCTGTTTCCTGTCATACTCCTCCAGCTCTTTTGGTCCAGAATCTCCAGCCCCTATGCTAACGAACTTGAGATTGTTGGAAATAAGATCACTTTCCATTTGAGGCAATACTGCGTTAGTTTTCTATCAACTTTTAACTCTACTCTCTTCTACCTTCCTCCACCCATTTCTTTTATTTTTATTCTTCTATTCATTTCTTTTCATTTTACTTGCTCCTTTTCTGTTTACTATGCCTTAGGCTTCCTAGTTGCTAAAATGGTATTATCTGCCACTGGTTAGTCTTTATGCTTGCACTGAAGTTGAAGAACTCTAGCCTAGGGAGTAGTCTGAGGCATCTTTCTTTAGGAAGAAAGTATCAGATATTTTCACACAAGCAAACCCAAGTTCCCCTGATGGCCACAGTATAATCTGGAACACTCACCATCAATTGGCAGGTATTTCAGGAGATCCTGATATTCACCTTCTGTGAGTATGATCCCCATGTCCTTCAGAAAGTTTTCCAGGTTTCGAGCATCAATGTTTTCTGTTTACAAAAGATGAGAATGTGAGGAATCTGTAATGAGTCTAGAGGGTGAAAGATGCCACTTATTCCCATGTCTTATCATCTCCAAATTCAACAAGAAGAGGAGAGTTAGCCCTTGAGATGAGACTACACATAAAGGGAAAGTCATGTGGGAATTCAGAAATAGAAATGATTTCCTTCTGGTTCAGAGGACTATGCTAGATTGAAGAGGCCTACACTGAGGAATGTGAAATTGTCATTAGACAATTGTCTGGTGAAGACAGACAAATCAATGACCCATCAAGGTACATGGGTCTAACTAATAAGTTGGGCTTCTTTATCTATGTTTAGCCCAATTGTTTCAACTTGTCTGAATATAATCCCACTCTTCACCACTGGCTTAGAAACCTAGAATGTTGTCTGTCTCAACATCAGGAAAAATGAAGCAAGAACAATATATATTATGTTCCAGGAAATTCAGGATTTGCTACAAAAGGACTGAAGAGAATTTGTCAAGCTTATAAATGGATTTAAATAGAGTGATGACCATTTAGCACAATTCATCCACAATAGGAAGTGTCACAGTTGTTATTCAGTACTCCTCATTCTTTCTTACTATCCCATATCCAATTAATTGCTGAATCTTGCCACTTCTACCTCCATAACATCTTTCATATCTACTCCCTTTTGTCTCAACTCATACAACCAGATCGGTAGCTCAAGTCATCATCCATTTCTCCCTTTAAGAGATGTCAGAATGCCCCCAATCAGTCTTACTGCCTCAAAAGTCTCTTCCTGCTCCAATCCATCTTCTACACAACTGTCAACCTGCTTCTGTTTAAGCACAGATCTACTGACTATGTCACTTAATAAACTCCCCTAGTTTCCTCTTTCTTCTGGATCAAATATGTAAACTCCTGTCTCTTTGGATTTTACAACCTGGCCCAACCTACCTTTCTAGTCTTATTGTATATCACTTTCCCTTGCCTATTTCCTGTTCTTCACATATGGCCTTCTATTTCCTGTCTCTATATTATCTTACCAGCTGTCCCCCATGTTCTCCTTACTTTTACCTCAGAGTCCCTCTTTTCCTTCAAAGTGAACCAGAAGCTCTGCCTTCTATGAGTAGGCTTTCCCTGCTAGGACCCTCCCTCCCAAATTATGTTGTAGTTATTCTGCATATATTTACACATGTACATGTGTTTCTCAAGAGAAGTCAAACTCCTTATGAGCTGGGACTATTTTATTGTGTTTGTCTTTGTATCTCCAGTGCTTAGCATAGACCTAATGGGCACCTATTAAATGCTTGCAAGTTGATTATCTCTGTCTATGCAGATCAACAAATTATTTTTATAAATACTATTAAGAAAGCTGCTTAAGAAGGGAAATAATTTGCCCTGCAATCACATGACAAGTAAGTGTCAGAGGCAGGATTTGAATAGAGGAATCCTTGACTTGAGGTTATACCTCTATCCATGCCTCCTTTCATGAATTTCTGTGAAAAATCATGAGATTTATCTTCTTCTCATAATTACTTCTCACTCACCTTTAATAATTTTCATGTTATCCATAAATTTATTCAGAGTGACCATCCCATCATCTATAAAACAAAACACATACAATACCCAAGGATGTAGAGCCTCACAAAAAGAGTATTACATTACATTCTGAAATTATGAAATAAGCCAGAGGAATTTAGTTTTTTTTCTGAATTCAGGTAATTACCTTGAAATTTTATCGAATTTTCCCTTAAGATTAATTTATATTAATTTAATTTATAAATTTGTAATATTATAATATATAATATATAGTATTATATATAAATTATATATTTAATTTATTAATTTATAATGTGCAGCTGAATAATGAATAAATTGATAATAATAATAGTAAGAAAAATAGTTAGCTTTTACATAAGGTTTTAATGTTTGCAAATGCTTTACAACTATTAACTCGTTCTAATATCACAGAAATCTTGGGAGGCAGGTGCTATTTTTATCTCCCTTTTAGAGATGGGGAAACTGAGACTGAGAGAGGTTAAATGTCTTGCCTGGGGCAGCTAGGTGGCACAGTGGATAGAGTGTCAGGCCTGGAATCAGGAAGACTCATTTTCATGAGTTCACATCTGTCCTCAGACACTCATTATCTTTTTGACCCTGCATAAGTCATTTAACCCTGTTTTGCCTCAGTTTCCTTATCTGTAAAATGACCTGGAGAAGGAAATGGCAAACCACTTTAGCATCTTTGCCAAGAAAACCTAACATGCTGTCACAATAATTAGGACAAGACTGAAACAACTGTACAATAGCAACAAAAAGGGTTACACACATAGTTCATGTCTAAGGCTTTGAATGCAGGTCCTCTTGACTCTGGGTCCAGGCCTATATCCACTATATCATGTAGCTATCTCACAAAATCATTCAGGGAGCTTCCTTTCTCTCAGCTATTGAGTATCAGAAGAACTTGTATTTTAATTGGACATTTTATTTTGGCATATGAAATTCCAGACATTTCAAGAGTAAGATGGAAAGAATTTATGCCTTCCTATGTCTTGGCCTCCACTTCTTCCTCTGTGAAATGAAGAGACTAGACCAGGTGATCTCCATGTCCCTTCCCAGCATGCACACGACATGACCCTGTGTACTAGGAAACTGCCATTTTTTATTGATAACACAAGGAAAAAAGGACCTAGTTTTTTCCTTTAATGTTCTGACCACAATCTTGTTTGTGGTTAATATTTTTAATATTAATGAATATTTTTCTTTGCAAATTTGCTTTGCTTTGTCAAATTGGTTAAATGGAAGTCATATTGTCTATGAGGTAACAAATATGTAATTTTATTGGCAAAGTCATGGATTCTTGAAATGTTGAAGATTCACACCCCTTGACAACTGGCTAGAATGGCTTAGAACTGAAAACTCTTTTATTTTTACTGAAATCATGAATTTTGACCCACTTAGAGATGCTGTTTAGTCTTTACAACTACAGGCTAATTTTTAAGCAGCTTATAATATACGTTCTTCCATTACCATGGTGAGGTAAAATTTTAAAGTCTCAGCTAGCAAATCTTCAATGGTCTCCTGTATAAGAACATTAAGACTAAACTGATAGGGATCATTTTTAGAACGATGCCCCCTAGATGCTTTTTATTTTTTTGCCAAAGAAAAATGAAATGATATACTTAGGTTGTAATCTGCTCAGTCTACTCAGACCAATGAAAATATAGATCTTTTAAAATAATAATAATAGCTGGCATTTACATAGTAGTTTCAGGTTTACAGTACTGTACATATATATATATATACACATATATATCTATGCTTCTTTTTCATTTGATTCTCACAACAACCTTATATAGCAGACACTATTAATATTTCCATTACAGATGAGGAAAGAGAGGTTAAGTGAAGATAAGTGACTTGTCTAGGATCATACCATAAGTGTCTCAAGCAGGATTTGAACTTAGGTTTTCTTGAGTCTAAGTCCAGCATCTGGCTGGTTATGATTCCCTGATTCACACTGGGTTTCTCGCCTTAAAGAGGACCACTAGACAGCTCAGGTGGGGCCTGTGGTAAAGAGTAAGGAATCTACCATTCTTGTGTTCTACTCAGTGGCATTCCAGGAGACTCAACTTGAAAGTTCAGTCACAGATAATATTTCATCATACATTATTATGGGCTTTCTCTATAGGTATTTTTATCTTTTCATGTGAACTAAATTAGAATCCTTTCAGAAATTCTCAGACAGGAAATCAAAGCTTCCCCAAAAGCACACAGGGGCATAAGAAATGCTCACCATTAACAGGCAGGTTACTCAATAGCTCCTCAATTTCGATACCTGTGAGCTTGATCCCCAGGTTTCCCAGAACCTTGTCCAAGTTGTTAATATCAATATTCCCTCCTTCAGAAAGATAAAAATTGAAGAACATAATCAATCAAGAATTCATTAAGTCCTTATTATATGTTAGGCACTATACTAAATTGTAGGGATTCAAAGCCAAGTCAAGTTAACAAACATCTATTAAGTGCTTACTATGTGTCAGGCACTGTACTAAGTGCTGGGAATAAAAAGAAAATCAAAAGCACCATTCCTGCCCTTAAGGAACTCACAGTCTAATAGGGGAGACGAATAAGAAAAATATGGAATTGTGCCCAAGAGGGACAAATTATATAAAGCCTATATGTAATTACAATTATTCTATGAATTTCAGAACTGGATTTATCATTCCTAGTTTGAGGGTGAGATAATACAAATAACAATTCACATATATAATGTACTCTCCACACTCATTTTGAAAGACACAGTGACAATTTCTAAGGACACACATGGAGAGTCATTGGGAGAGCTTGGAAGATGCTTTATTGCTATGATCTTGGTCCAAGAGACCCCGACAATCTTTTCAAGAGAAGCCTTCATACCACATAGTAAGAAATGAATTGGTCAAGGTTGATGGATTCTGGCAAAGCAGATAGCTAATCTACAGACTTTAGGCCATGGGGTTTGAAGTTCTCTACAGTGACAGAATCTGGTGAATTGCCTCCTTCAGTTTGTCTGAACATAAAGAACTGGAGGTGATGAGGCAAAAATGCTGAATCAGTACATTGGAAGAATAAGAGAATTCATATTATAATCACTGAGAAGAAATAAAATACTTTTCACTCACCATTGAGTTTCTTCACAGCATTCATAAGGGCTTTCTTATTTATCTTCCCTAGGGCTGTAAGAGAAGGTTTAATTCAAGTCACAGAGGAAGTAACAGAGAATTACAATAATAGCACAGAGTTCATCACTTTGTAAACCCAGACTATAAAGACTGTCCTATGCCTTCCTTGCTCCCCCAAATGAGAATGAAGAGAGAAGAGCTCTCAAAGGGATGAATCCATCCCTTTCATTAACACAGATTCTTCTGATTCTATGGTAAAACAATCCATTATAGTGAATGGAAGATTTATTGTAGAGAAAAACTTTGTTTCAAACAGATATTATTTCTTTCACAAGCTCTTGACTCAAGTGCCTTTTTAAAGGAAGTAGTAGACAGTACTGATTTGGAAACAGGCTGGTTATTTTTGCTATCTGAAACTGTGACTCTCTATTATGTATCACTTGTTTTAAAAAATATATGATAAATTCAACAAGGTAATTCCAACATTGCTTCTCTGTTACTTTTTCTTAACTCCTGTTCTCTTCCATGTATTTTACACATCTTTCTTTGATGTTCTTTTGAGTCTTTTATTCTTTTTTTGTATCACTCTTACTACTTTCTCCTCCTCATGATTTTTATCATTTCTTCCCCAATAATAACCCTTGCTTATAACAAATAAAAATATTGTCAAGAAAAACATATCCACACAGTAGCAATATGTGAAAATATGTCTTGTTCTACACCTCCAGTCTACAACTTTTTTGGCAAGAGATTAGAATTATGATTTATTACCAGTCTTCTGAAGTCAGAGCTCCAATTTTAAATATGATAATTTCATTAAAAATTCTCCAACTTATATACACCCTTTAAGTTTGCAGTTTTTTGCTATAACTACAAGTGATACTATACATTTTTTTATTTTGAACTTTGAGTCTTTTATCTTTTTCTTTAATCTCTTTCATGACATGAACCAAGAAGATCTATACAGGGGTTAAATGGTATGAAAAGTCTACTTCCTTTTTTACTTTAGCCCTAAATTGCTTTTCAGAATATTCGAACCAATTCACAGCCTTACCAGTATTGCAGTAATATAATTGTCTTCCCATAGCTTCTCCAAATTTTCTGAATAAGTATTAGCTTATTATTTTAGTAATTTAATAATTTATTTAGAAATTTAGTAATTTAATTTAGTAAATGGCCCAAACATGAGCAATTAAAATTTCCCCATTTATTTAATACTATCTTATAGTGTTTTTTTAGTTGTGTGCATATAATTTCTCTGTCCATTTTGGTAAGTGGACTCTTAAATATTTTATAATTCTGTAGTTATTTTTAATGGAATACCTTTTTAAAAATCTCTTCCTATTTTGTTTTGTTGGTAATAACATAAAAAGTTTGAAAATTTCTATGGTTTTATTTTCTATTTTTCTATTTTACTGGTTGTTTCAACCAATTTTAGTTGAATTTCTGGGGTCATCTAAATGAACTATCATATCATCTGTAAAAACTGATAATTTTATTTCTCTTCTGCCTCTACTTCTTTCTTCAATTTATTTTTGTATTGCAATAGGTAGACTATATTAAATAAAAGTGGTGAAAATGGCTATTCTTGCCTTACCTAGTTTTATTGGGAGAGATCATCTTTTTCTCAGCCAATGACAGTCATATTTTTAACCAAATACAAAGTACATTAAAGTACAAAAGCTGGCCTAGTGAGTTTCCCTGTATGATGTGATGCTCAAATATACTCAAATGGATTTGAGAGTCCTCTGCAAAGATGCAGATGGCAGAGTGCTAAACTTGGAAACATTTGGGTTTAAATTATGTCTCATATGATTATTGGCTGTGTTGCCTCAGGTAAAGTCATTTAATTTCTCTGACTCTCAGTTTTATTTTCTATAAAATGCAGAGGTTGGACCTGATGACTTTTAAGGTCCCTTCTAACTCTAAATTATGTTAGCAACCCATCCATGCCTGCATTTCTTGTCTGACTTTTGTTCATGTCCTTCCAGAATTTTGCCATAGGGCTACCAACCAACTTGCTGAGAGCTTTCTTTGCCCTATGTTGACATTTGAAGGTACCAATGGAGCACTCTGTTTATCCATTTGTTAACCCCTTGCCCTTGCTCTGTGATAACCATATTTAACTCCTGTTCTTCAAAGTTCCTCATTGATTATACGGATTATATGTTGTAGCTTGGTTATAGCTACACGGCACCTCTTTATTCCCCTGTGTATGATATTAATTTTTTTTCTTTTGTTATTAATTTATTTTGATTTATCAACAATCACTTCCATAAGCTTTTGAGTTTTAAATTTTTCTTCCCCTCCCTCCCTCCCTCCCTCCCTCCCCAAGATGGCACACAATCTGATATAGGCTATACACATACATTCCTATTTAACATATTTTCACATTAGTGATGTTGTAAGGAAGAATTAGAACCAATAGGAGGAACCACCAGAAAGAGGAAACAAAATAAAACAGAAGAAAAAAATAGCAAATAGTATGCTTCAATCTGCATTCAAACTTCATAGTTCTTTCTTTGGATGTGGATAGCATTTTCCATCATGCGACCTTTGGAGATGGCTTAAATCCTTGCATTGCTGAGATGGGCTAATTCTATCAACGTTAGTCATCTCACAACACGGCTGTTACTGTGTATACTGTTCTCTTTATTCTGTTCACTTCACTCAGCATCAGTCCATATAAGTCTTTCCAGTTTTTTCCTGAAGTCTGCCTGCTCATCATTTCTTATAGCACAATAGTATTCCATTACATTCATATACCACAACTTGTTCAGTCATTCCCCAATTGATAGGCCTTCCCTCAATTTGCAATTCTTTGCCACCGCAAAAAGAGCTGCTATAAATATTTTTGTACATGTGGGTCCTTTTCCCATTTTTATGATCTCTTTGGGATACAGCCCTAGAAGTGCTATTGCTGGGTCAAAGGGTATGCACATTTTTATAGCCCTTTGGGCATAGTTGTGATATTCATTTTTAACTCTTTGGAGAGTGTTGTATTCCATGTCTTGCTAGAAGTAATACTGGCAGAATGTTAATATTAAAAAATGGGCCTTTGTTTCCCCGGAAAACTTGGTATAATTAATGGAACTTTACTTTCTCTAAAGGCAACCTAACCTACTTTCCTTCTCTTCAAATCTGGGAAGAACTGGACCATCTTTATTTTTTCTTCCAGATACACATACTTAGGGACAAACCGTCTAAGTTTATGACATGAAGGCATGTCATGATTTGTGTAATGGATATTCTTCATCCATTTGGCCTTCACTGTGTGGATGGTTTGCACAAACTCTTGAGTGGTTACAGAGCTCTTTCAGGAGATTCTGCAGTATTCCAGGTTTTGATACAACCAACACAAGAGGACTATCCAGAGGACTTAACCATCCACTAAGAAACCCTCTTCACCTTGGACTCTCCTTTGCATCTCCATCAGAGTTGTGTATACCTTTTGTTACCACACATATTTCTGTTTTATTCCTCACCTGATATTTATGATCAGAGGTTCACTGAACAAGGTTATTAAGTGTTATAAGCTGTATTTTTACATATTGACAGGAAATACCTTGTTGGAATAAAAGACTCTAAGATTTTCTTTTGATCTACTGAATCAATTTTTCAAAATCAACAAACAAGTAAAATGTGATCTTATATTCTCTACATCTTTCATTCAGCTACAAAGTTGTCTGTTGTTGAATATCTTTTGCAGACACCTGCTCATTCCCTACTAATATTCTCATTAAGGATGCTTTTGAATTGTTAGTAGAAGACTCATATAAAAATTTTGTATTGGTGGAAGAATTGGTATATAGGTCAGTGACTGTCGATGTTTTCTCAGTCACCTGTTTATTAATATTAAATTTATTAATATGGTTCAAGCTTTTTTTATTTCCCCTCTCTTTCAGACCTTCATTTACAAGGTATTTCAAAAGTCTTAGTATCATTTAAAGCTATTAAAGCTTAAAATTGCACTAAGACTTTTAGGATAGCCTCTTTATCCATCAGTACTCTTAGAATTGTGTCTCCTTCAGAATAAATCTCTATATACATTTGGTCTAATTGGCCAGCTTTTCTCATCTTTGTTCTTTTTTAATGCCATCTCTATCCCTTCCATAATCTTATCTTGGCTTGTTATGTTTGGGAACAAATGTTCTACCTCTATTGCTCTTGATGGCTTGTTATACTAATCATTTTATTTATGGTTCTACATTTATTCTCAAATTCACTGGAGATTACCATGTTTAGGGGGATTCCTTACAAAATTCTCTAAACTGGTTTAACTTTCCACAACTTCTCTGCTTTGTGAGACAATATTGATTATAGCAATGTCCATCATCCTTTTCCATGAGATTTTACAAACAAGTTTACTGACTAAATATGTTGCCATATTTCTTCACATGCATGTAAGTCAAACATTTCCTGACTAAGGTGTTTACTGGGCTCATTTGGTTTTCCTCTTGTGTCAACAGATTTGGTTAGAGTTCTACCTTTTAATGACCATTTGTGTAATTTTTGATGCTCATTTTCCATTTTCATTGTTAATTCTTTGTTTAAATAATTCAGAATTGAAGTGTTTCAATTGTATGCCATATGTTTTTTTACTGTTATGTTACTAATTTTTATATCATTTGATATTTTTGATATATCAAGAATTGTATCCAGAATATTATAGCAAGAAGATCATATATTTTTGTCATACTCTGATCCTTTTCTTGACAAGGTAGTGGTCTTATCATTCACAACTGATCCAGTGATTATTCTTATATCAATAATTAGTCTTTTCTATCTGGTTAGATATAATCTGTTTAACTTTCTTTCTTTCTTTCTTTCTTTCTTTCCTTTCTTTCTTTCTTCTTTCTTTCTTTCTTTCTTTCTTTCTTTCTTTCTTTCTTTCTTTCTTCCTTTCTTTCCTTCCTTCCTTTTTTTAGTGCTCTTTGGTGCTTGCCAACTCTTGCACCCATCAGTTCTTTTCTTGAAGAAGCTGTTCCTGACACAGAGGCACAAAGCTGCTCTACAGTCTACAAATCTCTGGCATCTCTCTTTCCGTCATCTTG